TTGATGATCTTTCTCCCCGTACTTCTTTTGAAAATGTCAACCAGCAGGTATTATTTGGATAATCAGGCAAAAAGAAGTTAAACACAAATACACATCTGAAAAAGATTGTTCCCTTAATGTTGCCACAATGTTAATTGAGGAGGGGAATGTTCCCTTCTCTACAACTCCTCACAGGATTTTTCCCTCCTCGTCCTCTTTAGACATCCCTCCACCATAAAGCCAGAATGTAAATGAGTCCACTTGGAAAATCCAGAAGCTCTGGTCTCAGCCAGCCTCCTGCTGGTGTGAGCCTGGGTTCCTGTGACTGAGACACTGGGAGTGGAGGAAATAGTCATGGAGGGATTTTCCCTGAACTTTCTACCAGTGGGAACAGAACATTTGTCATCAGCTCCATCACTGGACAGTTCCACGCTTCTGTTATTATTTCAAAGTGTCCAGGGCAGGAGGTTCATCACCCCCTCTACCCAGGAGGCCCCCATCTCACCCCAGTGACAGTTTTCAGCTCTCTGTCTCTGCTCACCTCTTGTTACTCTCCCAGGATTCTCTCCAGTGTCCAGGGAAATAGGGTAGGCATAAAGAAGAGGGAAGAGAGACTGCAGCCTCCATGGGTGCTGGCAGGAAGGGAGGTTTATCGTCTTTGCTCTCGTCTGGCAGAGATTCAGGTTGCGAAGTGGCAGAGCCCAGGCTATTGATTAAACCTTGCTCTGCATGTGGGTTTAATCTCAACAGACATTCAGGGGCAGGAAAACTGGGAGTCTCTGCAAATCTTTCCTTGAATTATCTGCTAATCAGAGGAGATTCTGAGGGTGCAGAAGGCAAGGACAGATGGAAAGTGGGACTCCCAATGGGAGGATGGGAGGAAGTGTGAGTGTGTGTGTGTGTGTGTGTGTGTGAAGGGATGAGATGGCATGGAAAGAGCACTGGGAGGGGGACAGGAGACCAGAGTTTGAATCCCAGCCCTGCTCTCTCCCTTCTGGGCAATTTGGGTGAGACATTGCCCTCTATGGACCTCAGCTTCCCCTTCTGTAACTCAAAGTAGTTGAGCTACAAGATCTTTGTCCCCTTCTAGGGTCAAGTGACCCTCTCTGAGGATGTTTCTTTGCCTATAAAACCAGGATCCTGATATCTACCTCCCCCCTCCCCAAGGAAGGATCAGTCGAACCTCCTAATTGCAGAAAACAAGTTCTGGCTGGCTGGCCCCACATACCTCTCCAGTCCCTCATCTCTCCATACTCCTGGTGCTCACTTGATGCTCCTGTATACCCTCCTCTGTGCCTTTTCTTGTTACTTCCTCTGCCTGGATTTCTCTTCTTCTTTAGTTAACATTACTTGTTTTTTAAGACTTGGCTCAGGCCTCGTCTCCTCCAGGAAGCCTTCCCCAATATCTCCCCACTGGCTGGGTTAGGTGTCACTCCTCTGGGCTCCTGGTCCTTAACAGCTTATAATCATAGCTGAGGTTTATGGAGAACTTACTAAGTGCCTGGCCCTCTCTCGGGCCCTTTACACAGCTCATCTCATTGAATCCTAACCATCACCACATGAGGGAGGTACTGGCTTTATCCTCTTTCCTTTTGAGGACACTGAGGCTGAGAGAGGTGAAGGGACTTGTCCCAGTGTTGGGGTTAGGATGTGAAGCCAGGGCAGCATCGCTCCAATCTTCTGTCCGATACTCTATCTGCTCATCCCACCTCCTGAACATCTGGCATGGCAGTTTTCTGCTTGGGGATATGTATTAGAACTTTCTCTGAGCTGTGAGCACCAGGAAGGCAGGCTCTCAGCTCCCTTGTGCCTCTGTTGCTGTTGTTGTTATTGTTGCCTGCCATTGAGCTGGCCTCCAACTCATGGTGACCTCATGGACAACAGAATGAAATGCTGCCCTGTCCTGCATCATCTCCAAGATCAGTTGTAGACTGGACCATTGTGATCCATAGGCTTGTCCCTCTAGCCTGTGCCTGTCACAGTCCCAGGAGGGACTGGATCTGAATCGCATGTGTTCAGGTCCATGCAGTTTGGGTTCCCTTGGGCTCCCCTGTGCTTTTCAGCCTTCCCTTCCCCTCCCTAGGCCTTGGGGGTCCAGAAAGAGCCCAGGATGGGCCAGAGCCCCTCTCTGCCCTAGCCCAGTGGCCCCTCCTGCCGATGCTGCATCCAGTTCTACCTACAGTTAGGTTTAATCTATGCTTACAGATCATGGTCACATGTGCTAATGTGCCACAACTGGGGCCAGCCCTCTTCAAGCTTTAGCTCACTGAATCCTTATGGCAACCTATGAGGGAGATAGAAGTATGAATCCCATTTTACAGATGAGGGAAACCAGGGCCTGGTAAACATCACAGAGCAAGTGGGTGAAATCAGAAGTGCCCCTAGGATCGTTTGACTCAAAACCCTTTAGCTTAACCACTGCTTCCCTTGTGTTCCAGACAGGATGGAGTGAAAAGCCCCAGAGAATAGAGTTGTGATTCACCTCCTAGTCCACCGTGGGCCAGCAGTTGCATCAGCTGTGAAAGTTTGGGCTGGGCAGGCCTTGAATCACAGCAGGTTTCCAATAACTGTTTACTGGGTGAGGTCAGCAGGTCAAAAATAGACCTCCCCATTTTACAGCTGAGGAACTTACAGTCAGAGAGGAGTAGGAAGGTTGCACAAGTTGACCCCTGAGTCAGAGGAGGAGCTAAGACTTGAACTCAGAACCCCTGGAGACCTTGTGCCTAGACAGAGGAAGGAGCCTGTTGGGCCTGGCTTTCCCAGTCAGGTCACCTGGGATGGCAGCTTTATGGGCCTTATGTTATTGGGACACATGTCAGTGCCCATCCCTGCTCTAATGACTTCCTGGGAAGCTAGGCTAGGGGTGGCCTACCAGTGGCAGGTGACAGGTTTATGGCAGGCCAGGAGTGAGATCAGGGCTGGGAAATAATGTTAGGAATGTTAAAACCGGAGTGGGGGCCCCACCTTGTGCAACTGTGGGGTCAGTGATGGCAGCTTGAGTGGGAGCCACTTCCTGACTGCCCTCATCTCAAATTCGCAGCCTCTGTGGTGCCCATGATGAAGGTGCATCCACGTCAGAAAGTGTGCGTCATTTAAGGGCACCCCAACTCCCCTCACCCGGTGCCTCAGAGGAAACACCCTGGTATGGCCTGGTTTTCCCATCTTGCTGGCCCCCACAACACCCGGGTGGACGGGGGCGCTGATGGGAGAGGTGAAGAGTTACCCAGGGGGGAGCTCTCCCTCCTACTTTCCCAGCCTCAGAAGGGGCCCCAATGCAATGGACTTTGAAGCGGGTCCAAAGGTCACTGATCAATACCCTCTTGAACCCACCAAAGGTTTCCAAGCTTCTCCCCCGCCTGTCAGGGGGCTGGTCTGGGGTCACAAGGACCCTCTGGAGTAGTCGCCATCCCAGGAACTGGCTTCCTTCCCACCCCATACCCTAGCCCAGAAAGATACATTTTTATAGTCCTGTGAGCACAAATCCACTCCCCAGAAAAGGCCTTCGGGTGTCATAGTCTCAGGCTGAAGATTAAATTCGAGAGCAGTGTAGACAATAGGCATAGGCATTAACCCTGGTGTGGATGCCCCCTCCCCTCCCAGCCTCTCTGTAGGATCAAAGTGGTTCCTTGAGGCTGTGTGATCCTGAGCCAGGAGGAGGACTCAACCAGGACTCTAACTAAGGAGGAAGCCCCTTTGCCTGGATTGTTCTGGGGGAGGCGATCCCATTCAGTGGTCCCTAGCCTAGGTTCAAAGGCCGGTGGGGGCTGAGAGGTTGGCAGCGGATGGGGAAGTGGCTGGACCAGAAAGCTGGGGCTTCCTGTTGATGGACAGGACTGAGGCCTCACCCACCACCCGGGTCTGAGCTTCCCAAACTCGCACGGAAGCCTCCACTCCAGGTGGGACACGAGGTACCTGCAGCCACGAAGTAGCCTAGGGCACTGTGATGGGGGTGGGGGGTGCAGCTGGGAGAGAGAGCATCCCCTCCTGAGACAAGAGACAGCTCCTTTCCTACTGCGACCCCCTAGCTCCATCTTCCCCAAGGATGGGGCCTCCCTCAAGGGAACTTTTCCTTCATTAGACCTCTGTGGAGATGCTGGCAGACGGAGAGAACTAGAGGTCCATTCAGACCCTGGCCGCTTCTCTTCCCATCTCATCTCCAAGGACTGGGGGCTCTCAACAGGACGCAGCCCCTCCCTGAGTCCCATCGCAGTCCATTTCTCACCTCTGCCCCTCCAACCCTCCCCAACCCCACCCCCCGCCCCAAAATCACATAAACACAAGCTCAGCAATTTAAGAGCGGCTTTGCTCAGTGTTGGAAGGGGGTCTTTGGTCCGCTTGGAAATTAACTTTGGAGCAGCCTGGGGGTAAACAGAAGAAAGAGATGAGACCCAGAGAATCAGCGAGCATTGCCTGAGAGATACAGTGGACAGTCCTCCTTCTGGGGCCACCGATTCAACAAATTCCATCGAGCATTCCTCAGCTCCCTCATCCCTCCAAGACTATGACCACCGCCCGCCCCTCAACTTGGACCAATTCCGAGGCCCTCTCCAGCTGCTCGGCTCCCGGGCCTGAGGAGCCTTCCCCGCCGGCTGCCGGGAGGAAGGCGAGAGGGCTGCTCAGTGGTCGGCCCCAAGATGGTCGAAGCCGAAATCCAGGGACTACGCCTCCGGTGTGGGTTAAGGACCCTGCGACGTCGCTTCCCTGTTCCCAAACCAGGGATCAGGGTGGAGGCAGGGAGGGCGCAATTTCTGAACGTAGAGAACGCAGAGTCGGTGAGAGGGTCTTGCGCACCGGGCCAAGAGGTGGCCAGCGGAGGATTTCAGATCAGGGACAGGATGTGGGTGGGGGGCGGGAGCAGGGGAGGCGCCTCTAAGGGGAGGAGCCGCCACCCGCATTCGGTTGTCTGGGCTCCCTCCCGTCGCGGCTCCGCTATAAAATCCTAGCCGGCAACACCGGGGCACCCCAAGCGGCCTCCTCTGTGTGCGATCCCAGGTTTGGCGGCTTCTTTGCCCCCGCGCAGGATGCGGCTGCTGTTTGCGCTCCTGGCCCTCGCCGCGGCCCGGCCCTTGGCTCGCGCAGGTGAGCGCCCTCCCGCCCCCCGGCGCCCCTCGGAGGCCCCTCTGCGCCCCCTCGCCCCGGGTCACTTGCCGAGGCCGCGCCCGTGGGCGGCCGGAGTGCGTGGCTGCGAGTCGGTGCGCGGGCTGCCAGTGTACTGGGGGCGGCAAGGAGTGCAGGCGCACGGGGCCGCGCGCGAACTCGTGTGCACACACTCGTGTCCCTTACGGGTGCGTGGGGAGTGTGGGCATGTGTGTGCGCGGCGGCAGGGTGCGAGCGTGGCACAGCATCCTTCGGCGAGGCGAGTGTGTGAGTCTGTGATAAGGATGCTCCTCTGACCCGCCTCTCTGCAAGCCTCCGTTTCTCGCCCTGGTCCTCCTGCAGTCTGTCCTTGGGTCTCGGTCTGTCCCGCCCGGGGCTCAGTCCTGGGTGGCTGCCCGCCCCACCACCCCCCGGCCCAGAGCAAGGGCAGCTAATTGGGTGTGGCGGGGTCCCTTGTCCCGGGAGCTGCCAGCTCCTCTCCCCAAGCTCCCAGCGCTGTAGGGGAGCCTGGCGGGGGGCAGCCCAGACCCAAGGTCCTGGGCAAGCCGGTCTTTCCAGCTGGGGTGATTTTCCTTTAAAGATTAATGGTGAGGCCGGGCTCTTAATTATTCGCTTAGGTGGGAAGTGGCAGGAGAGGCGTGTTAATATTTGATAAGGAGCTGAATGTGCTGTGTGCAGCTGGACACAGGGCCCCAGGAGGCACATTCTCCTCCACCCCACGGAGACGAGCTCCTTCGCAGGAAGCTCAACCGACCCTCCTGCCGCTGGGCCCCAGCCCAGACATCTCTCAAAGGAACTAGGGTCTTCAGGTTCTTGGGTCATCCCAGCCAAGCCTCCTCTCCAAGTTAGGTGCTTGGAGCCACCGAGTGAGGGGTGAGAGTGTGTGCCCCTTCTCAGAAGTAACTTAGCTGGCTGGCTGGGGGAATGAGGGACATCTGGCAGGGACTCCGGGGGCCCTTCCCAGGGGAGGAGGAGAGAGAAAAGGCAAGAAGTGAAGAATTCCGTTTGTAGGGTTGGACGTTTGAAACCTACTAAGCAGCCGGGCTTAGTAGAAAAAGAAACACTTCGCAAAAACAGAAATGCTTTGCAATTAAGTAAGCTGCTTTGTAGTTGTGTGGCCTCGAGTAAATTACTTAACCTCAGTTTTCTCATTTACTGAACAAGAATGATGGTTCTGATTTAAGGCTCTCCCCCCACCCCACCCCCCACGCCGGTTTATGAGGTTTATTGGGGGAAGCAACAGGTTACAATTCAGGATCAGGAATATCAGGATACACTTATTTGATCAGGATAGCTTCTTCTGAGCCATGCCCACAGGCAGGCCTCTCTCTGGCCCTTGGGCCCCCCTGGGCCTCTTGGCCTCACTTCTGCCCTGCTGGGACCTTGGCTTGAAGTCAAGACCTATGGGTAACCCCGCTCCTTCCCAGGTCCTCTTGGAGGTGGCCTGGGCCAGTGGACTGGTAATTTCCGTAAGGGTGGCTCTCCTCTCAGCAAGTACAGGAGCCTGAGCTACTTGGTGCCCCTGCCACCTCTTGCCTGAGAACCAGCCACCTACCCTCACCCCACAGTCAGAGACCTGGCCCCTGACCCTGGCCTCAGCCTCATCAACATTATGTTTTCCTGGTTCCTGCCTCTTCAAGACAGTAGTTACAAGAGTATTCAGCCAAGCGGGTCAAAAGTCTCTGTGATTAAGATAGTAGATAAGAGATCACCACTACAAACCCAGAATCCAGAGCCAGAGCCAGGGAAGAGCAAATTCCTAAGAAAAGCAGGGTCTGGGCTAGATGGACTCAGTCTGGGCCAGATGGACCCCCGGGAGGCTGACAGGGGAACCCACCCTTCAGAGCTGTCCCCTGAGGACTCCCTTTCCCTGGAATAGCTTATCCTCAGGCCTCTAGTCCCGAGGAGGTGCCAGCTGGACCAGGGAGGCCCCTTTGGCCTTCAAGGCCTCAGAAGGGTGGGGACACAGGAAGATTATAACAAAGAACCTCTCCTGGGTGCAAATGACCTCCTTTCCATCATCTCCTTGAGCACTGGCCTGGGAGTTCTGTGGGGCAGGGATTATCTCTTCTTCTCTGATTGAGGAGGAGTGTGAGGCCCAGAGAAGTTAATTGACTCTCCTGGAGATACTAAGCAAGAGGCAGAGCCAGGGCTGAAAGCCAGGCGAATGAACTCCACCTCATCAGTTCAAAGGAAGGGGCCTGGATGGAAATCTACCACTGCCCTTTGCAGAGTTGACTCACAACGGGGTCCCCCTGATGCAGCAATTCCCAGGGGTTGCAGAGCCCTGCCAGGGCAGGGGGTGGACTGTCACGGGGAAGATGCTGCAGGGCTGTCCATCTCTGAAGAAAGCTGTGCTGGCAGGGTAGACGAAGCATTTGATCCAGAGCTGGGAACTCGAAAATCCAAGGTGGCTCTGAGGGCCCAGAAAGTGAGAGGGCCTTTTCCTGTAGCTGCTCGCTGTCCTGCTTACTCTCCTGCGCTGCTAACTCTCCTGTCCTATATAGCTCCACCCCCACCCCAACAAGAGGCTGACCTTCCCAGGGCTCTACCTGTCCTCACTCCAGGGACCCCTGCCAGATCCAGGCCTCAGAGAAGGTCAAAGTTGGGAGGGGGCGGCCCTGGACAAGAGAGGGAGCAGAAAAATGTGCTCTGAGACCTCAGCCAGTCTGAGATGGGAGCTGTACTTTTGTTAGAATGTTCTTCCCTGAGTTATTTCCAAACCACTTCGTTCTCTGCCTGTCCTGGGTTTTGGCCTTCTGGCCACCAGACAGAGGCAGTGGGGAGGGGGAGGGACAAACCCATCTATGGGACTTTACTGTCTTCTTCTGGAAATGCTGTGTGCCATTTAATCCTCCCCACAGCCCTATGAGGTGGGTATTTCTAGTCCCATTTTAGAGATGATAAAACTGAAGCTCAGAGACGGTAAATGATTTGCTCCCAAACCCACAGCTCCTAAGTGGCCCAGCCAGAATTCCCAGCCCTGGGGCAAATGTTTTGTCCACTCTGCTGGTGTAGTCTTTCCAGAGATACTGGCTTCTACTGGCCTGAGGCAGAGCCAGGTTTAGAACCCGTCTGTCTTGCCCCAAAGTCCAGGACTACAGGGTGGTGGGGGCAGAAGGAAGGATAGGGGTAAAGGTCTGGTTGCCTTCCTCGCTATGAGAGGTTAGTCAAGAATGGGTCTTAGGAACACAAGGTGAAGGGGCATTCTGAGGTGGGGCCACCTAATCTCCTCCATCATCTGGGATCAACTCTGGGAAGGCAGCCAGGCTGAAGCTGCAGGTTCCATTGTCGCAGGAGGGGAGGCCGGCCTGTCTCCTCCCCCTAGTCTTAGCAGAGCCTCCCCTCCTGGATTGGGGTGAGGGGAGGAAGGGCAGGAGTGGGAGGCGGATAACTAAGCCATGGAGAGAGTCCAGCCAGCCCAGTGTTAGAGCTGACCAGCCTCAGAGCGCCTGTCCCTGAGGACTGGCAGCTGCTGCGCCCTGCTCTAACTGAGGGACAGCATCCTGGGCAAGATGACCTGGCTGCCTTTTTTTTTTACCTCCTTCCCTCATCCCTACACTTTCTTCTTAAATTACCTTCCCTGAGCCCTCAGTCCCAGACCCCAGGAAGGCTCCATCCCCAACCCAAGGGAAGGCCTGACCTCAGGGATTTTCCTAGCCTCTGATACACACACACACACACACACAGTGGCATCCTTGCGTACAGTTCACATGGGTTCATGGAGCCATGCTTGTGCACAGATACACCAACATGCACACAGGCCTCACCCCTTTCCCTCTCTGCTTCAGAGTCACACTGGTGCTACGAGATTCAAGCCAAGGCCTCCAACTACACCTGCTTGGGTGAGTACAGTGAGTCTTGGGGACAGGACTTTGTGCATGGTGGGGACTGTCTGGCTGAGATGGAGACCGAAGGATGGCGAGGAAGATAAGGGGTGATGGTGGCCCCCAAGCCAGATATGGGCCCCCCTACATGCACACACACACACACACACACACACACACACACACACACACACGCACGCACTCACGCACACACTCTCCTGGTGCTCAGGGAACAGGGAATGCAGACTGACCTGAGTCTCCCCTGGAACTTCTTGAGATAAATTAGCAGCAGTAACATCAAAGGGAGAAATACATTTCAGCCCAGCAGAAACATTTTGCCATTTATGATATTTCTTACAAACAAAACAAAAAACTGTCAGTTCTGTTCCAATGACCCCACTTGTAGGTGGACCTGGGAGGTCATCTTTTGTACTTTTCACTCAAATGCAGACCAGTTTCCCTGCAGTCTGCTTTCTTCCTGTCCCTGCTGTGTGTGGGTGACTGGACATTCCTACCCCCTCCCCCACCTCCACCCCATCGGGTGTTGGCGTTCCCTGGATGATCTGGTGCCGTCCTCCCACCTTGCCCAACCTCGCTCTGAGGGCTCTGCTGGAGGGTCAAGTAGTGTGAGGTGCCCACGTGTGCTGCCTGTGGAAGGGCTGTCAGAGCGGCTTCCAAAGCCTTCTCTCCTTCACCTCCGCCAAACTTCACAGCCTCCCTGGAGAGCAGGTATCACCCTGATTCCCATTTTACACATGTGAAAACCAGGGCTCAGGAGGTGAAGTGATGTGTCCAGCATCACGTGGCTGTCCCTGACCCCAGAGCTCACAGCCACCAACTGACAGCCCTGTTCCCACCCTGTCCCACACCACAGCCTGTCCCACACACTTGTTAGCTTTGCATGTGTGTCTGCGGAGGAGGAGAAAGAGGAGGAGAGAGGCCCCGGGAGGGTGAGGGCCTTCCAGCCATCTCTAGACCTTGCCCGAATGTGAGCTGGGTGCTTGGGCTTGACCTCAGTGGGGCGGAGGAGGTCACACCTCGGTGCCAGAGGCCCTCGACTCTCAGCGTGCCCTCTCTCCCTGCTCAGGGCCGAACAAGTGGGGTGAATTCTGCCAGAACAATCATCAGTCCCCCATCAACATTGTCACCAGCAAAGCACAGTTCGACCACAGCCTGAGGCCCTTCTCCTTCTCTGGCTATGACAAGAAGCATAAGTGGACTGTCCAAAACAATGGGCACTCAGGTGGGTCTCAGGTGACCAGGTGGGGGAACCTGGCAGACACAGGCACTGGGCCTGGGGACCCCCTAAGTGCCCTGAGGAATGGGAGGGGAGGGCTCCTCCTGGGAAGGGGCACTGGGCCCAGTTCCACATTTGTGGGGGAGAGGGGGGATAGGGTTTCAGAGAGGAGGGATCCTGGTAGCAGTGTTTTCATCAGACCAGCCTGGGCTGGGCGGAGGGGCAACATTCCAGAAAGAAGGAACAACATGTGCAAAGGCGTGTAGAGGCGTGAAACAGCCTGGGGTGTTCAGGGAACTGCAAGTGGTTCCATATGGATGAAGGACAGAGTGTGGAGCTGGGAGGGGCCAGAGCTAAGGCCCAGGGTCAGCCAGGCTGGGGCCCAGGGCAAGTCACCTGGGCTGAGGAGTTTGGACATTACCCTGAGGACACCTGGGCACCACGGAGAGGATTGAAGTAGGGGAGGGCCCAGGGCCCAGTGGCATGTTTGGGGTCGTGGGGGATGTGCAGGAGAGGGGGAGGCAGGCAGTGAGGCCAGGGAGGGGGCCAGGGGAAGGTCTGGGGCTGTACCACCCTGTCCCATCCCTCCAGGCCCCAAACCAGATCCTCCCTGAGCCCATGAAGGGTAGGAGCTACGAGAGAAAGTCCTGCCTGGGTGGGGCTGGGATGAGGGGTGCTGGGAGATGCTGAGGGGAGACGTGTGCAAGGACCGTGCCCCCTTCCTCTGCCCCTAGTGATGGTGTTGCTGGGGGATGAGGCCAGGATTGCCGGAGGAGGACTAGCCACCTACTACCAGGCCAAGCAGCTGCACCTACACTGGTCCGAGGTCCTGGACCAGGGGTCAGAGCACAGCCTTGATGGGGCCCGCTTTGCCATGGAGGTGAGGCCCCTTCCCGGGGTCTGTGCTTGGCTGGGCTCTAGGTGGTCCAGCCCCTCACAGGTCCTTTCCTCACGCCCCTCCCTACCAGATGCACATAGTACATGAGAAAGGGGACAGGACATCGAGGAGCAAGAAAGAGGCCCAGGACCCCAAAGATGAGATCGCAGTGCTGGCCTTCCTGGTGAAGGTGAGGCCCCTCCCCTCTGTGTCTAGGAAACCAGAGTTTGAGGCTGCTTCTTAGGGATCCAGAGACCTGGGACTCCAGCAAGGCAAGAGGGGGCTGGAGAGGCCCTGGAGTCCCCTCTGTTTCTCCTAGCCTTGTACACCCCCGGACCATGTGGAGCCTCAGGGCCTCAATCTCAGAACTGCCCACCCCCACCTCCTGATCAGGAGAATGAACTGGAGGTCACCAAGGGCTTCCCACAAGCCCCTCTCGAGCCCCCTTCCCTCCCATTCCAGGCTGGATCTGAGAATGAAGGCTTCCAGCCCCTGGTGGAGGCTCTGGCTGACATCCCCAAACCTGGTGAGTTGCGATGGGGAAGAGGGGGAGTCCTGGGGGTGGTGGAAAGGGACTTCTTCCCACAAAGGAAGGGGGCAAGGGTGGGTGGGTGGCCTGGGCTCTCAGAGCAAGGTGTGTGTGTTGGCGGGGTGTCAGAGCCACAGAGACCGCCCCCCATCACTGACAGGATCCTCTGTCCCCGTACCCCCAGATATGAGCACCACGATGAAGAAGAACATCAGCCTGCTGGACCTGCTCCCCAAAGGGGAGAAACTGAGTCACTACTTCCGATACCTCGGCTCGCTCACCACGCCGGGCTGTGATGAGAATGTCATCTGGACTGTGTTCAAGGAGCCCATTCAGCTCCACAAAGACCAGGTACACAGGGCCCAGGGTGCAGCCTCCCACTTCCTGGCTCCCCAGAAATTGCCCCTCTGGATCTCTCCCCAGGTCTTCTGGGCCTGGGGTGGGGACGAGGGGCCCAGGATGCTGAGATCAATTTTCAATTCCTGAGGAGACAGACAAGAAATGTCCCAGCAGTTCCATCCCTGTATTGAAGGCTGGAGGGGAGGCATATAGGAGGCCGTGACCAGTGGTGGTCAGAAAAGGCCTCCAACAGGAAGTAGGTGGGAGTCAGCCTGGTAAGTCAGTGACCTAGGGAGAGAGGCCAGCATAGGGGACGCTAGGGATGGCCGGGAGCAGCTGGGAGAGGGCCAGAGGGGCCGCTTAGGAAAAGAGTGCATTCATTCAACAAATCCTAACTGAGCCCCTGGGTGCTAGGCTCTGGGGATACAGCAGTGAATCCAAAGGTCCCACACATCATGGCACTTTCATTCCACAGCAGGGGTTCTCAAAGCATGGCCCCTGGACCAGCAGTGTCAGCATCATCTGGGAATTTGCTAGAAATGCAAATTTTTGGGCTGCATCCCAGACACACTGAGTCAGAAACTGTGGGGTGGAGCCCAGCCATTTGGGGCCCAATAGGCGCCCCCCCCCCCCAGGTGAATCTGATGCACACTCAAGTTTGAGAACCACCGTTCTATAGTTGGAAACCCTGGTGGGGCAGTAGTTAAGAGCTATGGCTGCTAACCAAAAGGTCGGCAGTTCGAATCCACCAGGTGCTCCTTGGAAACCCTATGGGGCAGTTACCCTGTCCTATAGGGTCACTATGAGTCACAATTGACTCGACCGCAATGGGTTTTGTTTTTTTTTTTTTTTGTTCTCTGGTATGACAGTAATGGTGGTGATAAATATCACCCTCGAAACCATGAGCTGTGTCCACTCTGCTAAGGGAAGCTGAGGGTTAACTGAGCCCTCTACCAATGTCAAACACTTTACACCTCTTATTATTTTCATCAGCACAACAACCTGGAGAGGGAGGGTTCTGAGCCCTTCTTTACCAGTGGGGCTCAGAAAGGGGAAGTGACTGGCCTGAGGTCACACAGCAGGGAGTGCAGTGTTGGCCCTTCTGCAGGTCCTGGCGTTCTCCCAGAAGCTGTACTATGACAAGGAGCAGAAACTGAAGATGACGGACAATGTCAGGCCCCTGCAGCCGCAGAACGATCGCCAGGTGTTCAAGTCCCAGGCTCCAGAGCCGCCGCTGCCCTTGGCCCTGCCCGCCCTCCTGGCCCCCATGCTCTCACTGATGGCTGGCCTCCTCCACTGAGGGCTCATTTCTGGACACTCGACCTCTGACCCTAGCCTTTCAAGGGCTTGGGCCTCTGTTCCTTGTTTCTCAGGGTAGACTTTGGGGATGATTAAAATATGGATATATTTTTAGAGAAATCTTTCTCAGGCCTGTTTGTAGTTCCCCAAAACTACCACTGACCTGTTCCCCTTGCCATCCCTGTCCCAGGGCTGGGGACCCAAGGCCTGGTGATTTCCTCCAGGCAGGAGCCACCAGGCACCCCCACCCCTGCCTACACCCCACTACCTTCTACCCTGAACTTGGAGAGATTTGGAAGGCACCTGGGAGTTCCAACACAACAAAAGCCAGAGGAATTCCAGTCCAGTCTCTTCATTCTGTAGTGGGGGAAACTGAGGCTCAGAAAGGAGAGACTGGATGGAGACCACAGAGTGAGGCTATGGCAGAGCTAATTGAGACCCCAGCCCCATGCTTTCCCCTCTGCACGGGGGTGGGGACATGTGTGGGCACTGCCTGGGAGAGGTGAGTGACTGGGAGTTCAATTATTTGCTCAAATATTTCTTGAGATCAGGGAAGGCCTTGAGGCACCTGAGCAGACTTGAGGGAGGTAGGGGGTACCTGGAAGAAGAGCACCCCAAGTGAGGACAGCAAGTGTTCAGGGCAGAGGGGAAGGCATCAGCTGGAGGGACAACAGGGAGGCCAGAGAGGAGGGAGGGAGAGAGGGGAAGGAGGCAGCGAGTCTGAGGGGCAGGTTGTGCAGGGCCTCGGAGGCTGCTGGGGGCTAACAGGTCACACTGCTGCCTTGTGGAGCAGGGACTGGAGGGCGGAGGGGAAGCAGGGGAATAGTTAGGAGACTAGTACAGTCATCCAGGAAAGGAGTTTGCTGGTGAGTCAAAAATGGGATGTGACAGAGAGCAACTGAGGCTGAAGCCAAGGTGTTTTGGCCTGAGCGCTTGTCAGATGGTGAGGTCAGGTCCAGAAATCCAGGGTGAGAAGAGGCCAGGGACGGTGTGGGGTGGGGGGCACTCTCAGGCCAGGGCTGGAATGTGGAGGAACCTTGAGAAGTGGGCGGGGGGCTGAGGACGGGACCAGGTCTCCGGCTCAGCGTGAGGACTACCTTTCTAACAGGCCCAGCTATCTCAAGGTGGTGAGCTTCCCCTAAGGGAGGTGTGCAAGCCAGGCAAACCCACCATCCAAGAGATTCCATTACCCAATCAGGCTTGCCTTTGGTGGTGGGAGGGGAGCCTTCTCCCACCCTGATACCCTCAGAAGCCCTGGCTACTCCCAGCCAAGCCTGGGGAGAGGGAGTAGGGCTGGTCCCCTTTCCTTTTGTGACCAAGAATAAGCATGCTCCTGTCTTCACCAATGACCACACAGCCATCCCCAGTGGGGGGTTGGGTGGGATATTGCTGTCTCCATGGCAACAGCAGGCAGCCTGTGTCAGCTGTGGGTGTGTGGACGCTGAACCTGTTCTCCCTTTGTTCCCACGCAGTCTGTTCCCATGCAGGGCTCTCAGGAGGTCAGAATTGCCCGCCCCCCAACTTGGCACCCCAGTCCCTGCCCTAAGGCATCTTTCAGTGAACAACATGGCAGCAGAACCAGGAAGTCCAGCTCTTTGTAGGAGATTGAGACAGTGTCTTTCCTGGGGAGTCCCTGGCCTCTCTAACCCTAAGTAGAAGACCCCTGACCCTCTCCCATCCTCCCTGACCCCACAGTAATAGCCCTAGCCAGTGGGGGCTGGAATGGGCACAGCTTGCCTAGGGTCAGGGCTCAGGCCTCCTCCCCCTGTTCCACCTGCCCTCCCTCCCAGCCGCTGGGGCAGACGCTGCCAGCACACGATCCTCAGCAAGGCCACTCCTGGCCAGTCATCCAGGGCCCGGCAGGAAGGCCCAGGCATCCTGGCCAAGCACAACTTCTAGTTCCACAGCCCCTTCCCGGGGTGGGGAGCCCTCCCCCTGGAACTGTACCCCTCACCACTGGTGGGCATTCCCTCTGTTTGTGTACATCTTTCTTAGTAAATCCCACTCCCTCCATGCTGCCCCCTACAATCCCCAGCAGATTCCCATTCTGGAAAAGGTGGTTCTTAAATTCCTTGTGCCAGCCTGACCTGGCCCCTGAGATAAGTCTCTCAGGGGGGTTAGGGTGCTACCAATGGCCTCTTATTCACTGAGGGCCCAGCCTGGCCCCCTGAGCCCCACATCCATTCACTTCCAATACCCCTTGAGTCACTGCATTGGGGGTACACACGTGAGCACATGTGCACACACAGGTGCACAAACATGCACACACACACACACATACACACACACACACACACATACACACACATACACACACACATACACACACACACATACACACACACACACACACACACATACACACACATACACACACACAGACATACACACACACACACACACACACACACACACACACACACTGTACTGCAACTGACCAAGCCCGAGGAGAAACAGCGGCTGGCGGTTTGGGCCACACCTGACTTCTCTGAGGTTCTTTTCTTGTAGGCTTCCAGCACAGGATGTGATCCTCATTTGTTGAATGCCTACTACGTGCTGGGCAAGGTCCGTGCCTTTTCTCTAATCCTCACGATAATCCTATAAACCAGTTGCTGTTGACTCCAACTGTTATGGATTGAATTGTGTCCCCCAAATATATGTGTTGTAAATCCTGCCCATTATACCTGTGGTTATAATCCACTTTGGGGATGGGTTTTCTTTGTTATGGTAAGAGGCCAGATCAGTGTAGGGTGTATTTTAAGCCAATCAGCTTTGAGATATAAGAAAAGCAGATTAGACAGAGAGAAGCAAGCAGACATGGGGGAAGATAGATGTCACGCCATATAAAGATCACCAAGGAGCCAAGGAATAGACGCTGAAAAGAGACAAGGACCTTCACCAGAGCCAACAGAGAGAGAAAATCTTCCCCTAGAGCCAGAAGCTTGACTTTTAGATTTCTAAACTGTGACAAAATAAATTTCTGTGCGTTAAATCCACCCACTTGTGGTATTTCTGCTATAGCAGCACTAGATAACTAAGACATCAACTCATGGCAACCCCATGTGTGTCAGAGTAGAGCTGTGCTCCATAGGGCTTTCAATGACTGATTTTTCAGAAGTAGATCACAGGCCTTTCTTCCAAGCTGCCTTTGAGTGGACTCAGACTTCCAACCTTTCAGTTAGCAGTCCAGCACATAATCCATTTGCACCACCCAGGGACTCCACAACCTTATGAGGGCAGTATTATTTCTCCCATTGTACAGATGAGGAAGCTGAGGCTGAGAGAGGAGCTAAGGGACCCATCAGAATGTGGGTCACTTCACACCTCCTTGGCTCCCATGGCCAGCTTTGTCCTTTGGCAGAGTCATTCAAAGGAGGCAGACATCTATGACCAGGGCAGGGTGGGGTCTGCAGCACCCTGTCCCACCCTGTCTCCATTGGCACACACTCTATCTCTGATGGGCCATCTCTCTGGCCCCATTTAGATTTGGCACCCAGGTGGGAGCCAGGGGCCAAAAATACTCCCCATGTGTTTAGATGATGCTTGGAAAATAAACTTCCCCATCTTGGCTCTCGGTTTGCACACTTCTGGCCCGGCTTCCTGTGGTCTGATCTGACTGTGGTGGGGGGGGGGGAGTGTGGCGGGAAGGGACGAGAGGGACCCAGGGCTCCCTCCCACCCTGGGAGTCTGAGGAAGGATCTGTAGGGCTCTGAGTAGGAGAAGTAGGGGTGGGAGTTGTGGGGTAGGGGCCAAGGAGCAGAGAGTGGGAGGGTGATGCCAAGCTTGGTGGGCTGTGCGTGCACACACACACACACACACACACAGACACACACATGCACACGTAGAGGCTGCTGTGTCACAGAACTCCAGGGGGCGCCTATGCAAAGACAACACTGCAGAGAGTGTCACGGTGTGATAAGACCCGGAGGCCCTGCGCTTTTTTGTGTGTTGGTGGTGGGAAGAAGCAGGGAAGCTGGAGGCCCTGCTGGCATGTTCCATTCTAGCAACAGAGGCTCTACTCCCCTGCTGGGCCTGAGTTTATCCACCGGCAAAATGGGCTAAGCTTGGCCCTCCCATCTTCAGTGAACTAGCTGTCCCAGGCTCCTGTGGTGACCTTGGGAGGAACTCCAGCGGATCTCTGTGGGTGGGGCATTGTCTTGCACGTATTGCACACGTCTCCAAGTGGCTGTGTTTGTTTATCTGATTGGGACAAAAGCACTACCTCCTTTAGGGATGCTGGACGATGTCACAGACCCAGGCGGCCCAAGGAAGGGCTTCCTCTGGGACAGACAAGTCACAAGGCAGTTCCTTCCGCGGAGCCCTGGCCTCAGCCAGACGGCACACAGTCGGGGCTCACCAGCTTGTTCCAAGCCTCGGCTGCTGGGAGGCCTGGGAGGTTAGGGACATGACCTCAAGGGACATGACCACAAGATTTGGAACAAGATTTAGTCTTTCAACAAACATTATTATTTTGTCTGTGTTAGGGATTAAAGTTTCAGGAAGGAAAAACAGTCTGAGCCCTGAATGACGCCTCACTGAAGGGCAGAGTGCTGGGCATAGTAGTACCAGGTCCACAAAACACAGGCCACGAGAGGGGTGCAGACAGGCGGGTAGCATGGGCCCCGGAGTCCCACAGACCTGGGTTTGAGTCCTCCTTCCACTGCTGACTAGCACAGTGCCCTTGGTTATTTAGTTCACCTTCCTGAGCCTTAGTTTCTTCATCTGTAAAGTGGAGGTGATGACAGCATTTAGCTCACAGGGCTGCTGTAAAGATGAACAAAGATACTTGGCCAAGAGGAGGGGTTCCATACTTTGTAGCTATTGTTATGGTTCTTTTTATTAGAGAGAGCATCAAAGAATTGGTAGGGCCTACAGATTGGGAGAAAGTGGCTGCTTGCAGGGATGAGATTAGGGAACGTTGGGTGGGGCTTGGAATTTCAGGGAGTGGGTCACTGGTTTACCTCTTCACACGTAGCAGATGTATGGTGTGTGGTGGGGTGG